ATCGTTGTCCTGGATCCCACACTTGAGTCATATAATTAACATACGCGATGAAACAAAACGTGTCAATAGATCCCAACAAAAGTAATGACTTAGTCTCATGCTCTGAGAAAAATTCAAGAAGATACATGTCTTCAAAGGACGCAAATTCAATTTGTTGTTTCGGAGAGCCAGAATCCTAAGAAATTGATGTAACATACCTCTCTGACATATCTCTTTGGGGACTACCATGAAACTGTTGGATTTCGCTGATGTCAAGATCTATATCATCTTCATCAGACATTTCGATTTGATCATCTAATGGCGCCAAGGTGAATACTTTGGGGCAGTTATTTAACATTTAAGTCGTACATCTTGTGCGCATCAGTTTTGGTCGGGTATTCAAATTTCTCATCAAAGTTCTGAGGCAACAACGAATTGGATATATCGCTCCTTTGTGGATGCACATGTGCAAGATATGGTGAAAGTATATCTAGCTCACTGAAACCTGGCGAAATAGCCTCAAAAGGACTTGGGTACTCAAAAGGACTTGGGTACTCAGTCACAGTGGGTACCTGCTAGAGATTGGCCAAACGACCTTCCTGTGATTTGAGATGTCGTTTGCGGAAGTGAATTAACACTTTCGCAGCGAACTGTTTCCAATCTACCAATTGTTTGTTCTGGAAAAGCCATTGGTACCACGTCAACGCTGCTCCGTCAAGATAAGACAAGGCGAGAGATAACTTGTGGTTTTCTGCAATTTCATAGAAGTCAAAGTACTGTTCAGCCTAGGAAATCCATAACTCTGGATTCTCGCCACAAAATCATTGAAATTCTATTGTGCTAGGTTTACTCATCGAAAGGTTTCTGTAGAATTTCTTAGCTTAGGTCCAAGCTCTGAATTCAACCATGGAAGATCCTAAGTCTAGAGAGAATATTTTGGAAAAGAAAATTTGTTCTGTTTGTATTGATCTTTCTCAATGTACAAATGCAGTTCTAAATAGCCAACTGCCCACGTGCTATCTCTAACAAACTAACATTTGTCCTGCCAACTAACTGTTAATACACAATCATTAAGCTAACTAATCAACTCGACTAATCTAACTTCCAATACTCCTCCTCAAGCTAGAGGATGAAGAATTTTGAGTACTCCAAGCTTGCTCAACAAATACTCATGTTGAGTTCTTCCAAGCCCTTTTGTGAGTATGTCTGCTTGTTGATCTTTTGTTCCAATGTGATGAGTCTACACAATTCCAGCCTTAATCTTGTCTCTAATAAAGTGGCAATCTATTTCGATATGTTTAGTGTGCTCATGAAAGATGGGGTTTGCTGCAATCTGTATAGCAACCTTGCTATCATAATAAACATCCACGGGTTGCTTGATGAACATATCTAATTCTGTGAACAATCCTAATAGCCAAGTTATTTCTGAGGTTGTAGTGGCCAAATTTCTATATTCTGCCTCAGCAGAACTTCTAGACACAGTTTGCTGCTTTTTTTATTTCCATGAAATTAATGATTCTCCAAACTTCACTAGGAATCCTGTCACTGATCTCCTGGGGTTTGGACATGCAGCCCAATCTGCATCACAAAAACATGTTAGAGAGTCAGCTTTGTTACTGCTCATCAATATTCCCATTCCAGGTTCTTGTTTGATGTATTTCACAAGTCTAATTGCTGCATTCCAGTGAGACTCCTTAGGTGTCTACATGAACTGACTTAACGTTTGTACAGCAAAGCTTATGTCAGGTCTTGTAATTGTTAAGTACAACAATCTTCCTATCAGTCTTTGATAAGCTGTGATATCTGTCAAAGGAACATCCTCTGAGTTTCTTGTGTGTTCATCATACTCAATAGATGTGAATTTCTGATTAGGATCCACAGGTGTGGATGCTGGCTTTGCTCCTCCTAGGCCCAAGTCTGAAATTATCTACAGAGCATACTTCCTCTGATTCAGCAATATCCCTTTGCTAGATCGAAGAATCTCTATTCCAAGGAAATACTTCAACTCTCCCAAGTCTTTCACCTTGAATTTATGATGCAACACCTCTTTGGTTTCATGAATTAGATCATCATTGCTCCCAGTAATCAGTAGGTCATCTACATAGACTAAGATCACCACGATGTCATCTCTTCTTCTCTTGGTGAACATTGAATAGTCATATAAGCTTTGGCAATACCATGCAGCTATCAATGCATTTGATAGTTTGATGTTCCATTGCCTTGATGCCTGTTTCAGGCCATACAATGACTTCAACAACTTACACACTTTAGCCCCTCCTTGACCTTTGAAGCCCTGTGGAAGCTCCATATACACCTCATCAAGTAAGTCACCTTGCAAGAATGCATTGTAAACATCCATTTGAGATAAATTCCAACCTTGTGAAGCTGCCAATGCAGTGATGGTTCTGACAGTGACCACCTTGGTCATCGGAGAAAATGTTTCATGATAATCAAGGCCCTCTTGTTGACTGTAGCCCTTGGCAACCAATCTTGCTTTGAACCTTTCAATCTCTCCATTAGCTTTGTATTTCACCTTGTACACCCATTTGGAACCCACTGCATTTTTACCTTTTGGAAGGTCAACCACTTCCCATGTGCCATTGTCTTCTAGAGCTTTAATCTCCTGTTTCATTGCATCCACCCACCTAGTATCTTTGGAAGCTTCTTTATAGTGGTGTGGTTCTATGACTTCAGAGATTTTTGCTACAAAACTTCTACAATTATTAGATAATTTGTGATATGACACACAGTCAGTCAAGGAATATTTTGTTGCCAAATTGGCTAGTGATATAATCTTCATGCCAAAGGGGTGCTTTAGCATTTCTTGTTGATCTTCTTGGAGCAATCGGAGCCACATTTTCCTGAGAACTTGGGACTATCATCTGTTCAACCTCATCAGCACTATAGTCAACACTAGGAGAGGAGACTACATCATTATCATCAGCCTCAGTGACAGTAGTGTCAATATCAAGACAATTTCAAGTAGTTGTAGTATCATGTATAACATCATCGATAGGCATAGAACTAGTCTCATCAATAACTATGTTTTCATTTGTAACCACTGGATCTGAATGAATTTCATCATAATGATGAGGTAATGTAGGATCAGTATTATTCTCCTTAACATGGCTTATATCAAGGAATGGATCAGGTTCATTAGAAGAGGTCTGGCCAAAAGAAAATCAGTGTTCCTTGAATACTACATCCCTACTAACAAAGAACATTTTGGTTGCAAGGTCGAGAAGCTTATAACCTTTTTAAGTAACAGAGTACCCCAAGAAAACAGCTGCCTTGGCTCTTGCCCCAAACTTATCAGTCTTGACTGGGTTGGTAGCGTAACACATGCAACCAAATACCTTCAAGTGACTGAACAAAGGAGTTTTTCCATATAATAGTTCAAAATGAGATTGACCCTTCAACACATCACTGGGTAATCTATTTATTAGATAAACAGCTCCTTCAATGCATTCACCCCAATATCTGGCAGGAATATTTGCTTGAAACTTCAGAGCTCTTGCAACACTTAGGATATGTTTGTGTTTCCTCTCAACTACCCCATTTTGTTGAGGGGTATGAACACAACTACTTTGATGAATAATACCATATGAAGTAAATAAATCACTACAATTTTTGTTAAAAAATTCAATACCATTGTCCGACCTAACAATCTTCACAACAGATGCAAACTGAGTCTTTATTTGAGATAGAAAATTTCTAAGCACCACAATTACATCACTTTTCAGACTTAACAAGTATATCCATGTAAATCTAGTATGGTCATCAACAATAGTGAGAAAATAATGTTTGTTGTCATGGGTAGGAGTCTTGTAAAGACCCATACATCCATGTGCAGCAACTCAAAATGTATCATGCTTCTAGTAGAACTAATAGGAAAAACCAATCTACTCTGTTTAGCTAGTGGACAGACTGGACAGTCATTGTTTGCAGTGACATTCAAGTCTTTATTTTGTAGGAAACTTAAACTCTTCATAGTCTTAGTTGATGCATGTCCTAGCCTCTTATGCCATAGATTTCCATAGTGCATCTTCTTTCTACAACTGCATTATTTACTGAAGTAGTCATATCCTTCTTACGATTATCTTGCTTCAGAACATACAGGCCACATTGTTCCTTACCAATCCCCCTCACCCTGCCACTGTAAAGATCCTGAAATACACAGAAATCAGGGAAAAAGTGACAGAGCAGGATAGGCTCTTGGTCAATTTGGAAACTGACAACAAATTATATTTGAAGTCTGGGACATAAAGCACATTATCCACCAGCATATTCTCAAGAAATTCTGCGATTCCAATATGTGTTATATTAGATTGCCCTCCATTAGGCATATTTACTTGTTGCTTACTATTGATTTCAGTCTTACTCTTTAGCATGTTATAGTTAGCAGTAATATGGTGTGAAGCACCTGAATCCACAATCCACTCATTAGAATATAGGTCTGCTATTAAGGAAGTAGCAATACCTGCCAGATTGCCTTGATGCTCTCCAGTGTCCCTTTTAGCATGCAACATCCCCAAAACCTGTTTGTGTTGTTCTTCTGTGAAAGAATAATATTGGCCATTGTGTTAGTATCCTGGTTGTTCACCTTTGTAGTAGTGTCCAGGAGTTACTCTCTCCTGTGCTACAAAACTTCTGCCAACATTTGTATCCACAGCAACTGTATTAGCTACAGCAACTGCATTAGCCATAACTTTCTTCCCTTTCCAGTCAGCTGGATAACCAATCAGCTGGTAACATTTCTCCTTCAGATTCCCCTTGAGACCACAATGTGTGCATTGCATGAAAGGTTTCTTGCCTCTATATGGTTGTTCGCGATCAACCTGCATAGCTATCAGATCACCTCTTCCTCCTGTTATTCCAAATGAACTGGACATGTGTCCTTCATCTTCACTTATCATGGCATAAGCCTGGTTCAATGTAGGCTCAACTGTTTTCATCAGAATTTGTCTTCGCGCTTGTTCATACGATTCGTTTAAACTAGAAAGAAATTGAAGTAACCTCTGTCACTGTAAGTGTTCGATGTAATCCGATTTTGCGCAATCACAACCTGGTGAAGGCACTAAAGCATCATATTCAGCCCAAAGTTCCTTCAATTTGGTGAAATATGCAGCCACAATGTCAGTCCCTTGAGAAATCGTAGCTATTTCTCTATGCAATTGGAAAATGCGAACTCGATTCACTCTATCGAATCGCTCTTTGAGATCTTCCCAAACCAGATGTGCATTAGATGTGTATACAATTCCACTAAGGGGATTCTTCGACACTGTGTTCATGATCCAGGACAACACAATCGCGTTACATGTTTCCCAATCTTCATGCAGATCTGCACTGAATTGATTCTTTCTGCAAGTGCCAGTTATGAACCCCAATTTTCTCTTAGCTTGTAAGGCGATACAGATCGATCCTCGCCATAGTCCGTAATTATCTGATCCAATTAGTTGTGTTGGAATCAAAGTCGATCCCGGAGTATTCGACGGATGAACCTACAAATATATTAACATAGAAGAAGGTAACTAGAAGGGGATGAGATACTAGAACAGAGAAAGGGGATGAGAGATAATTGACAGCAAAAGTTTCGAACCGTTCTTCTAACTCCTAGTCCTTTGTTAAGTGGTTATTGGGCCTGGATCCCAAATAAAAGCCTCTAATATCCCATAGACCCTTACGGAGTTAGCTTGGTTCACAACAGAATTCTTAAAAAGGAGATAGTATAATCTATATCCTCTGTTGGTGTGGTCAGCTGCTTGCTTTGACCTCTATCCATCTGGCGGCTTTTGAAAAAAACCTTTCTTTTTCTCAAGCGTATATAGCTAATTTCAAGTTGTATGAAACTTTAGGATCTAAAGATATATATAGTAATCATCCTATGTGTGAACTTACAATATGGCATTTAAGAGTGTTTTTGGTAATGCAACTTGAAATACCCGTTATGTTTCTTAATGGGTAGACTAAGTGCAGAGAAAAAAACTGCCATTTAAACATATATTTTCAAAAAAAATTCAAGGCTCTTGGTTTCTCACATATATACAATCAACTTCTTCATTGATATGTCATCATACGACTTGAAAGGGGAAAAGAATGCATTTTATTGTTCAATTTCAGTTTCTGTTTTTTCTCAGAGATCATGATCCTTTGATGGTGGGCCTGTGCTTAGCACGGGCCATGGTCCATCTAGTATATATCTATATCTATATTACCTTAAAAGCATGAACTCCTAACTTGAATGTTAAATTACTATAATATCCCTAACTTAGGTTGTGACTTTTTCGATGAATTGTGACTTTTCCGATAAGTTGTGACTTTTCTCAAAGGGTTGTGATTTTTCGATGAGTTGTGACTTTTCCAAAGGGTTGTGATTTCTCGGAAAGGTCATGACTTTTCATATAAGACACAAAAACATATGTTCATATGAGTTGTGACTTTTCCGATCAGTTGTGACTTTTCTCAAAGGGTTGTGATTTTTTGATGAGTTGTGACTTTTTCAATAAGTAGTGACTTTTCCAAAGGGTTGTAATTTCTCGGAAAGGTCATGACTTTTCAGATAAGACACAAAAACATTTGTTCTAATTACCCTTTGTTGACTATAAATAGAGGGACTTCCACTCATTTTTCAACCACAATTGTTTTTAATCTTCTACTCTTCTTCTTGTTGTATTTTAAAATTTTTGTGTGATTTATTGTAGTTGAGTGAGTTAAAAGTTTAGCGGAATATGAGGTACCACTATTCTGATGAAGTAAATCGTTCTATCCTAAAAGGGTATATTCTATAACTTCAAGTACTTGAGGAAAATAATTTTGATGATATAATAATTATTTTTTTCTTAATATATACATTAGTATGTAATGTTCCAATAAATGAAGTTAACATGATGTAGTCTAAAATTTATTTGTTTTGTTAACAATTTCTCTTGTGATGTAGACATATGCTTCTGAATATCTTTTTCCAAAAATTTAAGAGAATTGTCGCAAATTTGTTTTTTTGTATGCTCAAAGACAAAAAGAAATGACTTTTTTTTTATTCAAAAGCTACTTATGTGATTTAGATTGTCAGAAAGTTTTCTTCAAAATAGTTAATACTATATAAACATTGCCCTTTTATTTTATTTATTTACTATTTCTTAATATTTCAGTATTTTAGACGAAGAAAAGTTCATATGACTTGTAATAACGTCAGTTGAAGTTTGTATTAGTTTAATTTTTATATACACAACAAATATCATTTATAAGGTAATATTAGTGAGATACAACTAATTACATGATTGAACCTCATCAAATTAAAATAAATATAAACATTATTACATTTAATTAATAAAAAAATTCATTGACCATCTTCATAGGTTCACGTGAATAACAGTTATATATGATGATCCACATTGAACATTCACAAAAGAATCTACAATATTATGTTGTACTAAACTTATTATTCAAATCTTTGCTTAAATAA